AATCAAGAAATCTGATAACAGCTTTAATCCAAACTGCTAAACGCACTGCTAAAACGATCATATTATTCAACGCATTTACATGCATAGTCCAAGCATTATCAGATTTTGGCAGTTATCTGACTATTCAAGTGTTCATGTAAACAGCATACTCCGATTAAGGCCCTTATTGGATTTCTAGAAATCCAATTAAGAAAGCTACATTTTAGCTCAGTAATTGGGGTTTTCACTGCATGTATACTCTTACTCTGATTTCTTTCATTTTCCTCAGTCTGGGCATGTGCACAAACAGAGCACTGTCCCAGAAACATCAAACATGGCACCCGCGAGGTGACAACAAAACACTTTTGGAGCAATACCGAAACCAAGTACATGCTTGACGAAATGAAAAACTTAATACTCTTTATCTTCTAGATGATGTATATTCATATTTCCCACTAAAATGACTCAATGTTTTAAAAAAGCCGTGGCATAACATTTGTGCTTTATGTTACTTTAATGTCACATCTTCTTCTGAGAGTTCTTTGAAGGGTAGCAAAGCAGAAATCCGATTACTGTCTGACTCATGTAGACCCGGTGGTTTTTCTATTATCTGATTACCCAAGTGCATGTTAAGACGATGAACGAACTGACAAAATCTGATTTTCTGCAGACATCAGATTATTAAGTATAAAGGCACTCATTGGTCTGCTTGTAAATGTTCTAACTGGGTGCATTTAGATACACAAAATAATCAACAACTGCAGAAAAGATTTTGCATGTGCTGCAGGTAACATAAAATTCTAACTTCTTGCCAAAGATTACTTTTTTCACATGAGGTCCCTTTATAAATATGCATTTGTTATAAGGCCCCAAATTGCACAAAATTTTATAATTTGTTGCCATTTCATGGTTGTAGTGATTCTCTGTCTGGTTCTGCAGATGTAGAAAAAAATGCAGGAAATCAGATTAAGGGCATTTCCAAAAATTGATGGAGCTGAAATCCAGCTCTATTTATCAGATTTCTGGAAATGTGTTGACAGCGCTAATCTGATCTAAGAAATCTAAAAGTCATGTTTACATGACCATTTCACTAACTGGATAACTGCCAAGACCAGATAACAATTCTTTGATTCTGGTTCTACTGGCATGTAAACACACTCGCTGAGTACGTTTAGATCCACATAACAATCAGTTATCTGATTCAGAAATCTGATGTGAAAACTCCAGGTCTACATGAGTCACTTAATAATCAGACTTCTTTCTAAATACCAAGGTAAGTACCAAAATTGCCAGTCAACTCACCATCTGTGCAGTGCGCAATGTAAAATTCAAATGTCTTGCCAAAGTTTCCTTTTTAACCCTTAAGAGTTAATACTCATTTGTTTACATGGCTCCAAAGTGCACTTAATGTATTCATTTGTAAAATGTAGCGTTTCTCGAATTTAACAACTCTCTGTCTGATTTTTTTTTAATTAAAATGCAAGATATCAGATTAATCTGATATAAGACCTTTAATCCAATCAAAGAATCAGAGTATGTGACCACTTTAATAATCAGATACTGCTAAAATCAGATAAATATCATATTGTTAGCGCACTCACTGGATATGTTTAATAACTGCACAAAATCAGATATTGGCATTAATCTGTTCATGTTTACAAGCACTTCAGTAATCTGATGATGAGAAAACTCTGAGTCTATGTGAGCCACTTGATAATCAGATTTCGTTTTAAATACATGACTTGTGAGTCACCAGAAAAGTGCATTTCATGGTTGTAGTACTAAAATAAGCATTTAGCGTTCACCGTTTCATGCGCAGATGTAGAAAAACACAGGAAACCAGATTAACTGTATATCCAAAAAACCTGATTGCGGAGTTCAAATCCAGTTCATCTGATAACAGCTTTAATCTGAACTAAGAAATCAGAATACGCTGTTCACATGACACTTAAATAATCAGATAACTGCTGAAATCAGATAATGATTGTATTTTTTAGTGCGCATTTACACATTTACACTCACTGTTCACTTTATTAGAAAGCCCTGCCACATAGCTGTACCACGTTCTGTTGATGCATAATTTGTGTTAACCATCCTCTTACCCTTCATCAGTGTTCAGGTTCTGACTACAGGGAGAAATTTATGCATGACAACAGATGGGCTACAGTCTGTAGCTGTACAACTATGTGGCAGGTGGAGGTCATAAAGTGGCCAGTAAGGGTATACTGCACTGGGCGAAGGACAAATGGTTCAAATGTTACATTCAATTCAACTTGTACAGTTGGCAGATATGGTGCACTGTGAGTAGCAAAGCTGCTATTGTGCCAGCCAATATATAATCTATACTAGTATTCCAGGTTTCGTGCCATACAACAATAATTGTATCAGACCTGAAAGCAAACTTTCAGGTCTGATACAATTATTTATTCTGAGGTCAAGATTCAAATTGATTTGAAGTGAAACGTCTGGAGCCTAAAAATCAGATCCCTTAAAATGTATAATATATGGCCACAGCATAAGCCCCACCCCCTGCCAACTTTACTCTGATAGGTTGGCTAGTTTAGGCACAACTCCAAAATTCAGTTTGTACATTTACACAGTTGACCTAAGATTGAATAACACTTTTCCCTTATGAGTTTTCTTTTTTAATCCTGTTTCATAGTCGCTCTGTAACTGTAAAACATCTCATCACAAAACTTTTTTAAACATTTGAGAAACCATTTTTAATCTAAAACAATATTTTTAAGAGGTTTAACTTAGACATTTGTATAAAACAGATTAAAGTTTACTTTTTATATCATTAATGTTGTACTACATTTTAAAAGTATGTATGTTATTTAAAAAAATAATTTGTCACAGAGATTTTGGTCACTGGTGTTATCAGGACTCTTATATTGTATTTTAACACAGTATTTTCAGCTCTATTAAACTGCTTCTTTGGGTCGAGGCTCATCAGAAAGGAAGCAACTCAAGGCATGAATCCACACTTGCTCACTATATTTCATTAATTTATTAATAATTTTGTTTATCAGGCAGCACAGAACTTTTATGTGTCACCGGTGTTATGTGCTTTAATGTCTGGGTAATTAAAATGTTGTGAAAATAATGCCAAATATCACTTTTATAAATGATTTATAAATAGTTGCACACTCCTTTTGCATTTATGATAATAGGAGAAGGTAATGGACATAATTATTTAGTTTTGGGATGAAAGAAATAGATTTTTTAAAAATGTATCCACCTGGATTATCACTCCAAATGGAGAATGGCTGTGTATCGCCCTTAAGATTGACTTTACAGAGGAAATGTATCCAAGTCCTACCATACAGGTTTCTACTGTAGCACATAGAGACTAAGCACAAATCAAAGGCGAGCCTGCAGAGATGATCTCTCATCTCTATCTCTACACGTCTACCAGAGTACATTAAAAGAAAGGACTGCAACTCTCCATGTGTTGTATGGACACGTTTTCTCATTGGAGAGGATATTAATTATTATGTACATTCACATTCCAATTAATTAATCAAAAGTAGTTAACTCATTCAACAATTAACTGACTGTTTGCACTTGGGATTCTGATGAAGACTGGCCATCTGAAACACCGAGAATTGAGAAATTATATTTACAGTTGGACTGTCAAAGTTAAGGCGTTAATACCATTTATTGCAATAAATTGTTATCTGCATTCATCTTTTGCATTGCCGTTAACAGATTTTTCCCGAAGCCCAGCTGCAGCACATTGTATGCTTTTAATATAGAATCTGTGATTTTAATTCTCTCATTCAGTTACAACTTTTAAATGGCTTTTAAAATGATACTGTCAGCAACTTCAGCAGATTGCATTGGACAATGATCGGAGAAGACCTATGGATAAATCAATGAGCAGCAGACTGACAAAAGCAACAGCAAAGTGGGACTCCAGTTCCCCTCGAGAGCCTCCATGGTAGCATGAATCCACAATCAGGAATTCAATGGTTTTATACATTAATATGATTAATCACTAATGTGATTAATCATGATTAACTACACAACCTAATGTAATTGATCAGGATTAACCACACCAACTAATGTGATAAATCATGATTAATGACACAAAAAATGTGATTAATCATGATTATACATACCAATGGTTAAGCGTGATTTACAAGACAAAACTGAAGTGATTAATTATGATTTACTACACAAAATAATGTAATTAATCATATATATGCACAGCTACTCAAGCTAAAGCTTAGCCTCACAAACAAATGTGATTAGTCACAGTTAACTACCTTAAATTAATGCGATTAATCACAATTAACTGTACAAAAGAAAGCGATTAATCATGATTACACAAACTAATGTGGTTAATTCAGGTTTACTACACAAACTAAAGTGATTCATCATGATTTACTACACAAACTAATGTGATTAATCATGATCAACTGCACAAAAGAAAGTGATTAATTGTGAATCCACAAATGAATGCAATTAATCATGATTCACTAGACAAAACTGAGGTGATTAATTATGATTTACTACACAAAATAATGTGAATAATCATAACTCATCACAACTACACAAGCCAAAGCAATCAATCAAGCTTAGCCTCACAAACATGATTAGTTCTAATTAACTACATAAAACTAATGCGATTAATCACAATTAACTGCACAAAAGAAAGTGATTAATCTTGATTACACAAATGAATGCAATTCATCATGATTTACCAGACAAAACTGAAGTAATTAATTATGAGTTACTACACTATGTGACTACTATTACTGTGATTAATCATGACTAATCACAACTACACAAGCTAAAGCAATCTTAGTCTTACAAATGAATGTGATTAATCCTGATTAACTGCACAAAAGAAAATGATTAATCGTGATGACTTCAATTGTTTGACCGCCCTAATTTAGAGACATGTAATGAGTGAATGTTTTTTCATCTTTCACAAGAACACTGTTGCTGTCGCTCCAAGCACAGTTTGTTTTCTCAAGTTTGTTTGCCGTTTGCTGCGTTAGCGCTGCACTCACCAGCTCCTTCTTCTTCATGCACTCCATGAGGATGATGAAGAGGTGCTGGGCCTGAGTACGGCTGTACGTAAACGTCTTCTGGATGGTGACCAACAGCTGGTCCCGCAAAGACTCATTAATGAGGCTGCAGGAGAGAAAGAGAGAGAGAAAGAGAGAGAGAGAGAGAGAGAGAGAGAGAGAGTGAGAGGGAGAAGGAGAGAGAGAGAGAAGACAAATAGGTGAAAATGAAAAGGCAGATAAGAATGAAGAAGAAAGAGAAGGTGGTGTTTGAAGGAATAAAAAGAGGAAGCAAGGGAAGGAGACAAGAAAAAGCGAACAAAAAAGAGGCAGAGAGGACAAAAAGGAAGATAGAGATGTGGAAGAGAATGAAAAAAATGAAGAGAGAGAAAACCAGAGGAAACGGAGAGTGAGAGAATGAGTAAACGATATAGAAGAGAATGAAAAGTGAAAGAAAAAGAAACAAGAGAAGCAGAAAGGATGAAATAAAGGAATATTTAGAAGAGAGAGAGAAAAAAGGCAAAATGAGAAAGGATGAGATGTGGAAGAAAGCGAGAGCGCAAGAGAAATGAGATAAAGAGAGAGCGAAAAAAAAGACAACAACAAGCAAAAAAAAAACAAACAAACAGAGGAAAGTAGAGGCAATTAAACAGGAATAACATTAGTGGATCGGAATTAAAAAGTTGCTTAACATGCCGTGACATAAAAACATCGCACAGTCTGTAAGAAATCGTTCTTTCTTCGTTTGTATTCAGATGAACAACACAGTGCTCGGTATGTAGGCTAATAAGAAGCATTGGGCTTATTTAAAGGCACAAAAAGTTTTCAGAACCTCATTGAATTATTACCCCAAGTATAAAAATGAGAGGGGTTGAGTTCATTACTCAGCTTTTCCTCCTAACATACTGATTTATTCATCTTATAATAGGAGCCAACTGGGTCAAGATTTAGGCCAAGGGTTACTTTGCTTCCATGGTGTTTCTTCTAGCATGAAACTTGTTACACTCCCAGTCCACATTATTGGAAACACACACTTTATACTTCCACTAACTGGCCACTTTATTAGAAATGCCTACCTTGTGCTTACATTCACTGGCCACTTTATTGGAAACACCTACCTTGTACTTCCACTTACTGGCCACTTTATTAGAAACACACACTTTATACTTCCACTAACTGGCCACTTTATTAGAAACACCTGCCTTGTGCTTACATTCACTGGCCACTTTATTGGAAACACCTACCTTGTGCTTCCATTCACTGGCCACTTTATTAGAAACACCTACCTTGTGCTTCCATTCACTGGCCACTTTATTAGAAACGCCCACCTTGTACTTGTACTTGCAGTTCTGTGGTCAGAAACTAATCACTGATGAAGGACTAAAGGTTGACTAACACAAACGGTGTATCTACAGATGAGCTACACCCTCTTACTGTAGCAAAGTGGTGCTCTCACACTGCTCTGTTAGTCACCTACCCTCCCTCCTCTGAGTACTTGTGGCCGAATGCCAGGATGTCCGAGGCTCGTCCACTGCCATCACATACCACTACAGGCACAGGGGGTGTGTCCCTCAGGTACTCCAGCACGATGGAGATCACGTTAGGGCCACCCTCCACAATCAGAGCCACCACAGGGACTCCCTGGCCGATTCCTGGAGCCAGAGAAAGAGAGAGAGACAGAAATCAGTGAAGGCAGTAAAAAGTCAATAGCAGTTGGGTAAGAGCCAGAATGCCAGACAGGATGGAGAGTGTTTCTGATTCTGAGATGCTCCAGGGCTACAAAGAATTTCTGGCAATAATGCCAAAATAATTATTTTCTCACTTTCAAGCTTAGATATTTTTAACTAAACTGAAAGAATTGGGAAGTCACAACAGTGTGCGAGACTTGGAAAGAGAGAGATACCGACACTGACAACCTGCCACACATTTTGGTGGAAAGGAGTGAAGTGACTCCACCAGCAGCCACACTTGTGGCAGCACTGTCACAGCTTGACAACCAGCCAGGAAAACTATCGAAGTTGCAAATGATTGCTTCTTTTTTCACTTCTGACGCTCAATAACTTTCTTAGCGCCTTTGGTTACCCATTTACACTTATGTATGTGAGGCGCTGCAGTGCAAAATGTGACTAGATTCGGCTGCATCATCTGCTGTCAATGCATGTGAAATTAAAAGCTAGTTTACTAGGTCTGTAGCTGATCATGCAAACAGTACTTTCTTGTCTAGAATGAATATGTGATTCTCTCCTAGCCTAGTTTAGGTCCTACTTCACAGACAGAGACCAGTATCTCTCTTTTACTAAATATAAATCTCAAACTCTGTTCTCCGAATGGAGTTCCACAGGGCTACGTCTTAGGCACCCTCCTGTTTATTGTTTACATGCTTCCTTTGGGTGCTATCAATACAATTTCAGCTGACTATTTTTGCTATATGATGAAAGGTAGTAGAGTGTTGAGAGAGTCTGATAAGTTTCGTTTTCAGTGGCCCAGCGGTCACCGTTAACCCTAGCTAACATTCCTCTGTCTGCTGTGTAGTATCAAGAGACTTGCAATCCACATTAGTATACATTCAGCTGATGTTCTGGTCCACAGTGTTCACTAGACATTACGAGTGCAATGTGGGAGTTTTTTGCGCCCCCAAAATCACTCTGGAATTACAATTTATGAATGGCTGATGTTCATAACAGTGCTCTAAAATGAACATAGGTATCCATTTCAGCCATGACCTTATAGTCTCGCACATAACATGCATGGCCGAATGCGTCAATTTGTGCCTGAAACCAGATGCTAAGGCTTAGTACATCTGGCCCAGACTGAGTGACCCTGCTGTCCATGCCACTACATGCCCACATGAGCCCACAGTTCCACAGCAGACCCTTGAGTATGGTGGGAATGAAATCCATGTGCCTAGAGATCTGCTTTGGACAGCAGAGCGGGCCAGCATCCATTTATCAGCCGCGATTAGCAGTGATTGCGGAGTAATTAACAGGTGGTGCATGAAGCAGGTGGGGCAGGGGAAGAGGGATCAGGCCCATCAGATATTTGGCAGGTTCACGGGCGCATGGCTCCCTCTCTCTCTCTTTCTCGCCCACTGTAATAGACTGACTTTTGCGTTGTAGCATTGTGACTGCAGTTCAAACAGCGATCCCGCTCCAACGGCATGAATTATTCAGGAAGAGAGAGAGCGCCAACAGGAAAGAGAAGGAGTCCGACAGAGAGAAAGAGTAGAAGAGAGAAAGGGATGAGAAGAGGAGGAGGAGTTAAAGAGTGAAACAGGAAAGGACAGATGGAGTGGGGGAGATGTAGGAAGAAAGGATCAGATTGAGACGGATAGAAAGGTAGAGAGGAGGGGAAGACAGGGAGAGAGAGCACGAGAGAGAGAAGTGGGCCGTTCCCAAGAGTCCCACATGTGCGATCATTGTGCCTAAAACAGGCACAGTTACATAAAGCAGCTCTATTTATAGGCCTCACTGACTTCAAAGCCCAGTCCTTACGCGACTCAGCTGCTAGCGGCGTGCGGATAAAACGAGCGTCTCGCTTAGTTCTTCCACTTCATTTTAGAGCGGGAAATATTTGCCTGAAAGGAATCTGAAAGGACCCAGCTATTCACGTCAAGCTTGGACCACGGGTCCGTGAGGCCAGCATGAGAACAACATATTAATCCTAAATTACAAACTTTTAGTGTGTTGTTTGAAGGCATTGCTGGGTGAATAATGTAAATTGGTGGAAGTGGTAGCTGTTATTCTTGCTGAGGAGCTTAACATTGTCACTGAGGTACTTTAGCAAACGCCTTCAATGGGAACGAAGTTTTATTCAGGTTCCGTTTAGTGGCAAAGTCAGATTCTGTTGTATGCTTGGCATTTCTGTTTACACAAACACGAGAACCCACCTTGTACATCTGTACTTGTCGCGTAAAAAATGTTTACTCTGAAATTTGTCAGGCTACGGTCAGGATCAGACAGAATTTTGTTGGGCCACTGTCAGGTTCAACGAAATTTTGTTGGGTTACAGTCAGGTTGAAACAGAATTTGTTGGGCTGCAGTTAGGTTCAACAGAATTTTGTCAGGCTACATTCGGATTCAGACAGAATTTTGTGGGGCTACATTCAGGTTCTGACAGAATTTTGCCAGGCTATAGTTGGATTCAGACAGAATTTTGTATGGCTGTAGTTGACTTCGGACAGGATTCTGTCAGGCTACAGTCGGGTTCAGACAGAATTTTGTCAGCTACAGTCGGGTTCAGACATGATTTTGTCGGCTACAGTTGGATTCAGACTGAATTTTGTCAGGCTACAGTCAGGTTCAGGCAGAATTTTGTACGACTACAGTCAAGCAGGATTTTGGTAGGCTACAGTTGAGAGGAGACAGTTGTGATTGCACAGAATGTTGTCAAGATGCAGTTAATATCAGACTTTTGTCAGCTACAGTAAGGTTCAAAAATTTTTTTGTCAGGCTTCAGTTGGGTTTGGACCAATTTTTTTCTGGCTACATTCAGGTTTGGACAGAATTTTGTTGGGCTACAATCGGCTTTGGGCTTCAGTCAGGCTACAGTTGAGCTTGGACATATTTTGGCAGGCTAGAGTCAGGTTGACAATAACTTTTATTAGGCTACAGTTGGGTTCAGACAGAATTTTGTCAGACTACGGTTGGTAGCAGACAGATTTTTTGAAGTACCTTTCAGATACTGTTGTTTTAAAGGCATACATAATAAATCTCCACAGTTTGAAGACCTATTTTCAACCTTCATGACCTCCCAAACACAAGAAAGTTTCCTCTGTTCTGTGTGCTGGCCAGAACCATGCTGGCATTAATCTTGGGAAGAATCACACTCTGCTGTGGAGTGTTAAGATGGTGTTATAACTTTATGGGAGCAGGAGAAAATGTGGCCCAGCAGTTTCTAATTTTGCCTGCCGGCCGAGAAACAAACAAGGACCACAGTCGAGCTGTGCTGTGTGTTTGTTTTATTATTGTCTCTGCTCATCCCAGGCTGTTTTTCAGTCTAACCACCCTTGGCAAGTCTCAAAGTCTCTTTGAAAAGCAGCGCCAGAGCAAACAACTGAAAGCAAGCTCAGCTCAGCAAATGAACCCTAATGTGCCGTTCAATAGACGGAAGCAAAGGCAGTTTAGCATCTGGTGGGAAGCCGAGCGGCCGTTACGCTTCTCCGTCTTGGAACAATATTGTTTATTCTTTCAGCACTGGCTCCAAACCTCTGCTCCTTGTCTCACTATCAGGTTGGCTGGAAAACCTTTTGAGTGTAATTGGCTTAATTGTTTCGAGACAGCACAGAGGAAAATGTCACGACCTCAAGGTGAAATCAGCTCCCCGGTGGTGCGCCAGGTGTGGAAACACAGCATGATCACATACTCCCAGCTGTGAAATTCTTGTGAATGGAACAAACAAGATGTCTTGAAACGAAAAGAAGAAAGAAACTGATCCTAATTGTGACTTTTATTATTCACAGCTGGTGCCATAATAACAAACCAGTGTTCATGCAAATCTCTCATTTAATTGCAAATTGAAAGGTCAACTATAGTAATGAAGGACATCATTGAGTCCCTAATCATATGGGGTTCACAGGATCAAGTTTGGCTGCTCATGTTTGCCTTTCTTAGGGATTAAAAGCAATCTGCTGACCTTTGGCCAGGGGCTAAGTGAATGCTAGGTTAGTTATAACACAAGTGTTTATGCTAAGCTTTACATATTACTGAATCAAAAGAAGTTGCACCACATAAACTATGTTCATTACATTCAGCATTTTAGGTACAAAATATTCGACCTAGGACTAAACAGGTGAAATTTGTGTCAAAGCCAATAGCAGCTTGGATTGTACAGGAAGGAAAAACAAGACCTTTCACTGAGCCCTTAGTTTCCACTTCCTAGTATCAGATTGATGCTTTACAGAATGGAGTTGCACCACCTAAATGAAACTAATGTGTTGGCAAATAAATCTGAAGCTTCCAGGGGCGCTAAGGAAAACCATGTTGCTTTAACACAATGATGACCAATTTCTAACCAATTTGATAACAATAAAAATTTCAAAACAATGTTTTCTGGTCTTGTGCCACACTGGCAGCATTAGTCTAAAAGGCTCACTGTTAATCTTGTTTTATTTCATTGTAATAGTGGATGCTAATATGGCTGTCAGCAGAAATAAAGCTAAAAGTTAACAGTCCACACAGCTAGCTTAATGTAAGCCTAATGGCCTAAAAATGTAGTGCTGTAAGTTAAAACCCTTTCTAAATGGGCCATGGTTTTGGCTTGTTTGCGCAACATTAGCTAGCTACTTGGTTGCCATTGGTATGAGTCATATATGTATTACCTGCTAGTTTGTGTGCTAGTTTGTGTGGTAGTTTGTTCTCATTTTGATTTGGTAAACCATAGCCTCTTTCTGCAGGCCCCCTAGTGGCCATTCTATTCTATTATTCCTCCTTGTGGTAATTCTAATTCTATTATCAAATTAAATAGAATGTTGTTGGATCTCTTTATGTGCAATGTTGAACTGCTAGCAAGCAACAAGGGGCAAAGTGTAGGGCAAAAACCCCCTCTTGTAAAACCGATTCATAACTAAACAAATAAAAATCTGGTTCATTTGGTTTGTATATTGTAATTAGCCATTGGGCTATAACCAGAAGTGAACTGTGGCTATTAGAGCTAG